TTAGTACTTTTTTCTACTCTAGTTGTACTTGAAACTCTTTAGTATATTCTTTCTAATCCTCTTGTTTTGCTTCCTCATATAGGTATATTGTTCTCATTTGGTCTTTATGTTTGATTTCTGCACAGCTGTAGTTTGTGACTACATGCTTTATCTATATATTCATTGTTATTATCCTGTGGTCACTATCTGTTATATTTGCTGTTTCTTCTATATTGGCTTCTTGTAGTTCAGCTGCAAGTATTTCTGATAACCAGATATAGTTGGTTCTTGTTACAGCTTCTTGTCTTGACCACATATATGCTCTCTCTGTTAGATGCAGGCTTCTAAAAGAGTCTATAAACTCTTGTCTTTTAAGCTAATTAAAGATTGGTAGTCTTTTATACTCTGATGTTCGTGAATTCAATCTGTCTAGTATATTATCAATTGTGTGATTAAATCTCCCAGTATAACTACTTCTGTATTCTTTTTCCTATTTGTTACTATTTCTATGATTTTTTGCTGCTGTATCTTTTAACAATCATTTTGTTGTTTAGCAGAATATATATATCACTACTATTAGTATCAATTGTTTAAAGTATAGCCTTACTTCTATTATGTATTCATTAAATCTTTTAACTGCTCTGACATGTTTTTTCTAAGTTTTATCTATTAAAATCCCAATACCTGATCCTTTCTTCTTGTCTACTACTGCACTTGCCCAGTAACTTTTAAATCTTGTATTAAGATTATGTAACAAAATTTTTCTTTCTTTTTCTATAATGTTTGTTTCTGTTATATCTAGAATTGCTACTTCTTTCTCTTCTGCCCAGCATAATAGATTTTCTAATTTCCAACCTTTGGTCTTAAGTCTGTTAACATTGTGACATGCAATTTTTATTTCTTTTCTTCCTTTTTTCTATTTTTCTTTTAAAATTTTGTATCTTGTCTCTGCACTTTCTTTCTTCTCTTTTCCTTTTTTTCTTTTGGATTAGAAAATTTATCTTTATTTTTTTCTTCAAAAGCTCTTCTTTTACTGTGCAGAAAGTTTTCAATCTTCTTATCTGTATTTGTGAGTTTAACTGAAGTGCTCTTAGGAGTGATTAGCTAGGTTCTTTCTAGTTTTGTCTCTTGTTTCTTCTAGTCTTTCTAGTCTCTTCTATATTCACTCTAAGATGTTCTCTATACATGACTCTTTATCTTGTCTTTGTGCTTCAAATTCTTCTATTCCTTTTTTGAGATTCTTTTCCTTTTCATTTCTTGTATTTGTGTTTCTTGTTTGATTTCTTCTGTATCGATTTTGTGGTTTGCTTCTTTCTTTTAACATGGTATCTTCATGACTTGTGCTGTTTTTGTTCCTATTCTTGTTCCAGTGAGTCTTATTTCTTTGTCTTTCTCTGCTGTATGTATCCTCTCTTGCATCTGAGATTTGACTAAATTTGTTCCAACTTCTTTCTTTATCTATTTTAAGACATTTTTTTTTCATGTTCTTTTTTCTTTTTACTAACCTAATAAACTCTGAAGTTGTTATACCAAATTGATTTTGTTTGAGCTGCAATCATGTCTTTTTCTGTTGCAAACATGACTATTGCTATTCTTTTTTGATTTTCATTTCTATTTGGAGAGATGTAAACTGACTTTACATCTTTGCTTCTTAGGCACTGCAGTAATAAAACTTCTGAAGCATTTCTGAGTAATTCGATTAGTTTTGCTATGTATTTTCTTTGTTTTTCTTTTGCTTTATAGTTTTCTTCTCCTCTGATTATTCATACCAGTTTATCATTATTAACTGGTATAGTCCATGGAATGTCTTCTTTTTTGGCATCTTCTATCTGCATTATGGCAAGTATTTTGTACTTGGATCTTTTTATTTTTATAACTTGAGCATTTTTGAATCTTCTACAAATATATTCTAACTTCCTTTTGTTGATGTCTGTTGGCAAGTCCCATATTATTATGTATGCTTTATTATTGGACTGTTCCTCTGTTTTGTAGTTGTTTAAATTCTTTTTATTCTTGTTTTCCTTCTTGTTATATATCTTTTCTTCATTTTTTGTTAAGCTGTTTCTTCTTTTTTGATATTTTTCATTGTATAATCTTTGTTTTTCTTTTTTGTCTTCTCACTTTTTTGATAGTAGTTTGTACCAATTACTTTTTTTTTTGCTAATTCTTTAAATTACCTTATTTTTACCATGTTCGCAGTCAAAGTCAACCTCTATCTACAAGTTTCCTCTTTTAAAAACTTCTTTAATAACTTAGATATGTTTGTTATTTTTTAGTGACCACTCAATGAATTTTATACATTCTTCTTTTGTTGTTCCTGGCATATTGTGTGCTGGTATGTTAGCAAGTAGGCTGTTATGTTAGTTGCAATTTCTTTTGCTTAGTGCCCAAATACTCTCCTCTAATGGTTCTCCTACTATGTTAATTTCTTTCTTGATTTTTAGTTTTATTTCAAATTGCATGTTTGTTTTTTTTGCTGTTATGTTATGTTTTGATTCTTTCCAGTTTGCATCTGTACTCTTTTGCTCATATTCTTCTTCTTCTGTGTCTACTTTTACTAATAGCTCTTGTTTAATTTCTTGCATTATTTCTATTTTTGCTAGTTGGAGTTGCTCTATTAGTATATTGTTTGTTTTTTCTAAGACAGGTTCTATTATTACTGCATAGTTACTTTGTTCTACTATTCTTAATTTTCTTTTTGGCTGCTCTTTTTCTGCTTTCTCTATCAGCTCTCTTGTTAATCTCAATAATGCAACCTTGTTTGGACTTTGTTCTGTTAGCATGGTAACAATTCTATCTTTTCTATTAGGTGTAACATATATCTTACCTGCCTGTTTAAGAAATACCTTATTGTGTATACTATTAATAGTCCAGTTTGCTCTTTTGATATATGTTGTTATTAAACTATCACCACATCCTCCTAATGTATTCATATTTTCACTTTAAGTTGTATACATGTGCACTCTATTTGGTTTGCACATGACTGGTTTGTTTACTTGTTTACATTCTCATGACCAAACAGATCTGTAATATAGAATTAATACCAATTTCCCAAAATTTTGTTTTCTACATAGTTTCTTCAAGAAAAAACTCTTGTTTTTCTTATTACTCTTATTAGTTAGCTTATTTTTGGCTGCTCTTTTTTTATCTGTACCTTTTCTGAGTGCTCTTTTTTTTTTATTAGGCCTATCAGAGAGGTTCAAATAGCTATTATTATGTAAACTTGGTTTTTGTTTTTTGCCAAATTTGGTTTGAGTGATTAGTAGAGAAAGTTTTTTCTGTTTATTATTTTTGATTTATTAAAACTAATAAAAGAAAAAATTTTCTTAAAAGTAATAATTTTTTTGATAAAAATTTTGAAAACTTTAATATTAATAATATATTTAAAAAAAATAAAAAATTTTTGTAGGCTTTTTTTTATAAAAAGTTTTTAGATTTTTATATAAAATAAAAAATTTAAAAGTATTTCTTACAAGAAGATAGCGATCCTAGTATAGTGGTTGGGTTGTTATCCTCCAAGCAGTAGGTCCAATGTTCAATTCCCATGGTGACAGATTTTGAAAAAATAGACCTATTTTGGCAAACTTATCTGTAATCTGAGGTTTGTAGATTTTGTAATTCTGGTTATATTAAGACTAACTTTGAAAGTATGCAATGTCACATGAATAAATCTGGAAAGTATATACTCAAATTAGAAGCCTGTTTGGAAATTCTGAGCAGAGAGGTAGTACAACTTTCGATGATGCCACCTGTAAAGATCTTGATCTGCTGAAGAAAACCTAGAGCAGGTGACCTGTATGAACAAGAACCTCTAGGTAGAAGGTTTACCAATCTGGCCACTGGTTGATCTAGGCATCATGCAAGGCTAACTGAATTAGTAGTATAGGAGAACTTGCAAGAGTAGATAAGGTAACAGTGAGGTTGTAAAAGGAGAGTACTGGGGTTGTATAAACTTCGCAAAGGTTGTAAACTAGATTTAGCTGTAATTTTGAATACAGAAGGCTCTAGTAATGATGTCTTGAGAATAATTTGCATGAAATAAGACAGGAGTCCTAAGGGTATGGGTAAGTATCTAGAACTTCTTGACTGACATTGTGTAATAGAGATGTTCTAGTAATAACAGTAAGGATTACAGTACAGAGGGTTTAAATAGGCAACACCCATAGTTGGGTTGCAGGTATGACAGCTAGTGTAGAACCTATATATAGGTGGACTACTTAAATTAGACACCAAAAGTGTACATGTGGCTAGATGTACTCTTTAATGTAAGGTAGCTCCTCTGAGATAATTGGACTGTGAGTTACCATGTCCTATAATACTGAATAAAAAAGCCCTAGTCTTCAAAAGACTAGTTTAAATATAAAAAAAAAAAAAAAAATTTCTTACAAAAAGTTTAACTGCTAAAAAAATAATTTATTCATTAACTTTAATTAAATATTCATCTATATATAAAAAAGAAATTACTATAGTATATCATATTGATGATAAAACAATATAAATTCAGCATTTGTGAGTATAAGTATTTTAATATAATATTTATTACTATATATTTTTTTTTTTTTGTTTTAAGGCCAATGTTAATGGCGGCTAATGCCTTTATTGTGTTTTTAGTGAATACATTATAAGGTAAATGGGGATATTGTGGCCAAGTTAAAATCTCTACTAATAAAACTTCTTACCAGATAAATAGAATTTTTATATAACAATTATCATTTGAACTATACCCAATATAGAACAAAATACAATAAAACCGATCTTCAAACAATAGACATTTTTAGACATAAATGATCGGTACACAAAATGAATATAAGTTGGATTTTAGAGGGGTGGAGGGTATTGTGGCCAATTTTTTTTTTTATATATTTAACATTTTCTACTTCTATTATTCATAACTACACTTTCTTTTTTTTGCATTCTTCTATTTCCTGTTTTTTTCATGCTTGTTCTTCTTTTTTTGGGCACTAATTCTTTCTTCCGATTAGATTCTGCAACCTTTCTTTTCACTTCTTTATTCGATGTTTTTAGTTGTTGCCAACTTTCCTTCGAAGTAAGAAGCCACAAAAAGGAAGAGTTTTTCTTTTTTTAGAAAGAGGTGACTCAGATTCAGGTGGATTTAAAGAATCTTTTTGGGCTTCGGCATGCGAAACTCGAGGAACTGGGTACTTAAGAGCAGAACATAGAGAGCATGTTCTGGGATTTTTATAAGTTTCTAATTCTTCTTTTAGCACTGCAAACTGAGTTTTTAGCATTTTATTTTCATTTTTGAGGAGAACATTTTCATTTAAAAGAATCTCATTTTCTTTTTCTAATAGAATGGCATTTGAATGAGTAAGGTGAGAGCAATTTGAATGGGTAAATGATTCTGAAAGCGACTCATTTGACTGCGTGAGTTGTTGACTATTTGAAGGTAGTGTAAGTGATGAAGGTACAATGTCAAATTGCTCTGTTGTCAGAAAAGGATCCAAGTGGTCTGAACTAATGGCTTCAGGATTGAATGGCCATATTCCTGTACTTTTGTAGGCATTGCAAATTGCAGATGGCATGTAGGTTTCAAGGAATGCAGGGCCAAATATTCACGCAAAAGTATGTTTTGTTACCACCTTGCCATTATTGTTATTTTTATATTTGTCACATTCTTTAGCATATTTATTTTTAATTTAGCAAAGGGAATTTCAGAGGGCTGTAAAACATGCGTCATATGGGGCAGAAGCACATAAAAAAGGATTCCTTGTTTGTAGCAGAAATCAATACTTGTATAGCTTATATGGCTTTTATGACCATCAAGCATTAATAAGACAGGACGGGTAGGTAGAATAGAGTTATCGAAATGGGTAAGGTACATTTGGAAAAGGTCTTCGCGCATGTACCTAGTACTTGTGAAGCCCATCACAGTTACTGGAGGTGCACCTTTTAACAAGCCAGAAATTACACGAACACCTTTATAAATAATTAAAGGTGGAATGTACGACCTGGCAACAGAAATCGTAGGGGCAACAGAAATATGCTTATGTGAATTTCCATGCGAGATTTTATGAACTTGGCATGCACCTTTTTTTGCGATGACCTTTTCCAACTTGGGCACAAGAACAAATCTGGTTTCATCCATGTTCCAAATCTGCATAGCGGTAAGGGAATTTTCATCAATTATTTGTTTGAGTTTATCAAAATGGTTTTTAACAATAATCGCATTTGCTCTTTGTGCTCGAGCTTCGGATAATTCTTAGGGAATATGAAATGAAAGCTCAGGATGGTCTTTCATAAAACAGATCCACCAATCTCAACCTGGCCCATCATCACTAAATGGATATAGTCTTTTGTTATTTCTCATTATTTCTAATACACAATAATTAACACTGGACCGGGTTAGACCAAACCCAAGCTTTTGCATGTTAATGCAATATCCAACTAATTAAGTTTCTTCATATTCTGTTAGGACAGTAGGTGGACCTGAGTGATTAGGTGGACTATCATTTTTAATCACATGGCGAAGAGTGGTTCTAAGAATGTTATAACTTTCTGCTAGACTATTTACACTGGAGCGCTTATGATTAGTGGAATAATCTTTTTTATATTTGTTAAGTGCCACAAGAATTGATTTATTTCGATTATCTTTAAGTTCACATTGGTTATTACTAGAAACCTTTGGCATTTTATGAATTATACTAAATAAATAAAATAATATGCAAGTATTTTGAAAATTTAATATCAATTAATTTGCTTTATTTAATTAGGCCTTTAACACTTATTGTGCTTTGCAAAATTGTGTGATCCCATTGTCATTGATCATCTTTTAAATAGTGATTTTGATTTCAATTATGATTATAAGGTTGGTCCAATTAATTGATGAATCTGGTTTATTAAAGTTTGGTGTTGGCTAAGAGTTAGAAATGATTATTAGCAATTACTAAATCATTGCAGTATAAAAAAAAAAAGTTATAGAGAACACAATTTTGCAAAGCACTATAAGTTTGTGAATAATAAAAGCAACAATTGTAACTTGCAATTACTATGGTTGATGGCATATGAATTTGACTATGTAATGTGATAACTTTAATTTTAATAGTATAAAGGTATTGTTGCAAGCTTTAAAAACACTACAAGCTTTTAATTAACAATAAGATCAAAAAATTTCTTTTAAATAACACATAAGATCGATTTTTTTTTTATTTGTTGTCGCGTTAAATTTGTACTGATTGAAATTTTAAATGCTGATTGTTTTTTTTTTTTATTTATTAATGCATCGTTTATATTTATATGAATTAAAAGATACTATACACTGTCAGCAAGCTCTTGTTTGAATTTAAGTAGAAATTGAAAATTTGTAGCTTACTATAAGAACAGATTACTATTATAATTCCTTCACTTTTAATAATAATAAATTATTTAAATTTCACGAAAATACAAGATTATGTAAAGTTTAATTATTATAAAAAAATTTCTTAATGCACAAAGGTTTGATTTTTTATTATACGACGATTATCTTCTATTAAAGCTCATATAAAGAATTCTTGTAATTTGCCTAAAGTGTTAATATCTCACGATGTAATAGTCAGATTCAGATGAATTTTATGTCATTCGATCCATCTCAATGAGACAGATCGAATGGTACAAAAATTACCTGATTCCAATCACCAGATCACAAGATATGTCAGTTGGTCACAATACCCACCCTGGTCACAATACCTCCATTTACCTTATATTACATGTACAGGATGAGCGTACAACTAGCCATATATGTAACTTTTGGTTACCTATTTTAAGTAGTCCACCCAAGGGTTCTACACTAGCTGCCATGTCTATAATCTACTAGGAGACTATCTAATTAAACACTCTGATTTCTATACTACACTCAGACAATTATCACCCTAGTTCCTGTACATCTAAGTGCCATCTAACCCAACATTTAGCCTCCCTTCTGTACATCTGTCAAGCTGTTACACAATTATTTTCAGAGCATGACACCTAACTATAAGGCTCTGGGGGCCCCCTTGTTAAATACCTACCCACCTACAGAACATTAACAGGGCTTGCTCTTGCAGAGTTCACTCAGACCCTAGCACTTACTTCACAGCATATTCCTAGTACTTTTAGTATACTCCTGCTTTTTCTCCAAACTCCCAATCCAGATAGCCTGGTAGGACTATGACCAGTCCATTGGTATATCAGATCAGCCTGAAATCCTTTTCCTTCAGTCCTTCTGTTTGAACTTCTGGCAGCCTGGTTGGTAGTACCTCTCACCCAGAGGTTTTTGCCTATCTGGATACTCCACATTGGTATCCATTTCCTAGGTCTAGCCTTTACAGTAGTACTGTCGAAAATCTGTGTTACCTCTCTACTCAGGTCTTTCCAAATAGGCTTCTTGTTCCCCAATTTCTATGGATTTATATGGCCACAAGAACTTATTTTGGGTTTGCACTGCCCAATGCCGGTTTGCATTCCTCTGTATAACCAGTTACACAGATGCACCATGACCTGCCAGTCATGCTGATGTGACCATAATTACAGGTATCTTAACTCAATTGTTAGGAACAGTTGCCATAATACGAGTATTACATAGGTGATTATCCAAATTTCATTGTCCATAGGTTTTGAACTCACAACCTACCACTTGGAGGGTTGACAACTTATCCACTTCACTAAGTCGCCACATCCCTACTGTATTCTTTTAAAAATAAACACTTTATAAAAATAGACACTTTTCAGTTTGTATTGTATTTAAAAATAAGTATCTTCTAAATATAATACTCAAAAATAAGTATTTTCTAAATATAATACTTAAAAATAAGAATGTACTAAGTATAATACTAAATTGATACAAAATTTTACAATTACAAATAAATTAGTAATTTTTTTTTTTTTTTTTAATTTATTTTAAGACTGATGTTAATAGCAGCTAATGTTTTTATTTGTGCTTTTAGTAAATACATTATATATTACTTATACAAAATGAGCATACAACTAGCCATACATGTAACTTTTGGTTACCTATTTAAATAGTCCACTCAAGGGTTTTATACTAGCTGCCATATCTATAATTTACTAGGAGACTATCTAATTAAATACTTTGATTTCTATATTGCATTCAGACAATTAGCATCCCAGTTCCTGTACATCTAAATGCCATCTAATCTAACATTTAGTCTCTTTTCTGTATATCTGTTAAGCTATTACACAATTATTTTCAGAGCATGATACCTAACTATAAGACTCCAGAAGCCTTCCTGTTAACTACCTACCTATTCTATGGAACATTAACAGGGCTTGCTCTTGCAAAGTTCACCCAGACCCCAGCATTTACTTTATAGCATATCTCTAGTACTTTTAGTATACCTCTGCTTTTTCTTTAAACTCCTAATTCAGATAGTCTAGTAGGACTATGACCAGTCCATTGATATATCAAGTCAGTCTGATATTCTTTTCCTGCAGTCCTTCCAGTTGGACTTCCAGTGGCCTGGTTGGTAGTACTCTCTATATAGAGGTTTTTGCCCATCTGGGTACTCCAGATTAGTATCTATTTCTAGATCTAGCCTTTACAGTAGTACTGTCAAAGATCTGTATTACTTCTCTACTTGGGTCTTTTCAAGTAGGCTTCTTGTTCTCCAATTTCTACAAATTTATACAGCTACAAGAACTTATTTTGGGTTTGCACTGCCTAATGCCAGTTTGCATTCCTCTATGTAACCAGTTACACAGATGCCTTATGACCTGTCAGTCATGCTAATGCAATTATAATTACAGGTATCTTAACCTAATCATTAGAAACAGTTGTTATAATATGAATATTATATAGGTGATTATCCAAATTTTCACCATTCATGGGTTTTGAACTCACAACCTACTACTTGAAGGGTTGACAACTTATTTACTTCACTTAGTTACTACACTTTAAATTAGTAAATTAATAGATTATTTTTTAAACTGTTAATTTAACTATATAGGCTAGATGCTAGAAAAAGAGACCAAATTGACAAAAAATAGATTTTATAGAAAATTGTTTTTTATATTATAAAATCTATATTAACTTATAAAAAAATACAGATTTCAAATGGTTATATTGTAAATTTTTATTAATGTAATAGTGATTCTTTCTTAAATAATAAATGTTCCTAAACTAATTTTAAATTAGTTAAGCTTAAAAAATTTATTTTGAAAAAATTGTCAATTTGGTCCCTTTTTCTAGCATCTAGCCCATATATCTACTATAATTTAGACTACAATTTAATATAATTAATATTTAATCACAGATTAATTATAAAATTTTCAAGCAAATTTGTCTAAAAAATAGTTTAAAAAATAACTTTTTTTTTACTAATTTAAAACTTTAATACTTTATTACTATGTAAGTTCTTTTTTTTTTAATGTTATACTTTGTTTACAAAAAGTTTTATAAAACAAAAAATTATATAAATTTATTTATAATATATACAATTTAGAGCAAGAAAATTGAAAAATAATTATTCTATAAGCATAGTAAGTAAAATATAACTTGGCTCTTAATATTTATTTTATTTATTGCATTAGTTTATTTATTTTGTAAAATTTATATTATTCTGTCTAATATTAATGTAATTTGTTATTTAAATCAATATATAGATAGACCTTTAGAATCAATAGCATAGTGGTTATGTTTTGAGGTTACAAATCGCAAGATTGCTGGTTCAAATTCTAGTAATAGCAATTGTAGAGATGCATTTTTAAAATAGGAAACTGCAATACCATAGTATCAGGAACTTAGAAAGTTATTAGATGGACTTATTTTTAGAAAAGACAAATAATTTGCAATTGAAAAACCACCTAGTAATAAACATGAGTTAGAGCCTAATTTGAAATAACTGAAGTCATAAGACATAATATAAGACTGAAAGTTTGACAATAAAAGATACTACATGAACTCATAATAACAACTGGTTCTTGATAAAGCTTGGCAAAACCTTTTGATTCTGGCAAGAGTTAGTATAATAGATCATTCTTAGAAAGTTTAAAAGTACAGACTGAAGGAGTCAAGATCCAGTATATATCAGAATTATTGAGAACATTAGTTCAAAAATATAAAATATACAAAAAAGATCTCAGTGAGATTGTCAAAAAAGGAAAAAAAAAAACTTAATATATATTATTAAAACATGAGATTGACCTGTAGATCAATAGTGAAGTAGTTATGCTCCAAGGTTATCAATCGCAAGATTGCCAGTTCAAGTTCAATAAAAGATGTAAACTGTGTTAGAACTACGATTATAAATTAACCACACTAGAGGGCATATTACAAAAATAGAAAGATCTTTAGTACTCAGATTCTTAAATAGTGACAGACCTAATATAAGAAGGCTGCAATAATTAGAGGGCTAAAGATAATAATAGAACAAAGAAATCTCTGATTAGGAATAATTCTGATAAAATTTTAAGATAATAGAAATACAAAAATTAGTATATAGATAGTACTGTAAAAATGTATACAAGCAATGTAAAATGTAGACAAGGTCCTGATAGAAGGTTCTATAAACTTAAAATATGAATTAATAAAACAGCTGCCAGCTGCGACCTACTAGCAATCATACAGTGAGAAATTTAAAAAAAAAAAAAAAACATAAAATTTATTTTATAATGCTATGAAACTATAATGCTAACTAATTGAAATTTAAGATTAGGTGT